ACCATCCGGCTGTATCTTTGCAACTGACCATCGCTGCTATACCGGAGAAACCCCGCGATTAAGGTCTTTTCAGAAACGTTGCGAATTATGTTGAGCCCTTGAAAACGATTGGCCTTGGCGTTAACGGTTTAGCAAACAGGCCCTATTCGAAGACTCGAAATATTGGAATGGAAATCCAAAGCGGGCCGGCCCGGCCGCTAAACCGGGCCGTTGTGATCATCAGGCTCAGCAAGCAGGGAATACAGTTCACCAAAAGATCTGAGGCCTACGGATGGGCTGTGTATTATCCCCTCGACACATGGTTGTTACGATAGCCAGTATCAGGCCTACAAGTCGGTCGTTCTTGACTACTTTTCGTCTGGATTATGAGCAGTGGTGAACACCCTAGAGCCTCGAGCTTACAGCTTGTGTCTCGCTTGGTGCATCCACCCACCTAAACAGATGCGAGTACACGCACAGAGTCGCCGACACCCAATATACATGCGTAAGGGTATATTCTTTTACACTCCCCAGCCACACAGATCGGGAGTCCGACGTGCATCCCTGCCGAGCCCAACAGTGCCCAATGTTAAGGCCTAGTATCAAGCTCCTTTGACTTGACTCCCTGTCTCCTCACGCTCCTGGTTCCATGCGGGCTGTGAAGTCATCACAGACGAGTCAGTTGTCTGAGACGCAGGCCATTCCCGAAGCAGAAGGCCAGCTCAGCGGTATTCGGATGTCTCGTCATGTTTCTGCGTGAAGAATCCTTTGTCACCGCCATATCCCTTGTTGGGGGTGCTAGAAATGCTTGTCGATGGCTGTCCTAGATGCCACTTCTGCTCATGACTGGGCAAGGGCCTCCACATGCTGTTGGTGGGAGAGAACAAAGAGCTTATCTTCGTGACATTGTGTGTCTTACTCTTCGCTCAGTGTGCATACATGCATGACTGAATGAGATCAAGGCGAACCACTTCAAGTTCTTCAGTCTTGTGGTCCCAAACAAGGGCTTCGAGTCGTTGATATAAAGCGATAGTTTGAACACTTTGTCTTCTGGGCTGCTTCACGAAAGGTGCTGCAGCCTATGTCAAGGCAATCATCCCCATAGAGTAATATCGCCAGGTTCTTACAACTGATGCACATCAACTCACACGCCCCCCGGAATAGACATTGCTGCTTGCTAAAGGGTCTGATGTGATAGCGAGTTCGTTTTGCATGGTCACTCAAGCTCCAACGTTTCCAAAGCGAGGCGTGCGAATCATGCAAGACGTGATACACCATGAAGCCAGCACAGATCAGGCGGTAGAGGGATGACTGGGTGTCCAAAGGCGATAATATACAATGGTATCTTTGTCATGTCGACAGGCATTCAATTCTCTCTTCTCTCTTCGGAGTCGATGGAATGCAATGGCTAGGCTGCAGTCTTGGCCAGAGGGATGCTGCCACGTTGTGCCTCTACATATCTTGTGCGCATCAGCATGGTTCTGAAATGACTCCTGAACTGTCGATGATTGTGTTTGACAAAGAAGGTTCTTCAATGGCAAGCCAAGGTTCTAGTGGAAGGGCGGAACTTTAATCATTCATGTGAGCAGGCAGCCATGCACGAGAAGCATGCAAACTCCCCCTATTCTTATATGTTACTACCGAGGTGAGGACTTGCAGCAATTTACAATTACGAGCTAACTAACTCAATTCAGCTTGACCTGAATCCTTTGCGGATGCCTGCTTATTGTCCCAGAAAATATTATGGGGAGAATAGAGGCTGAGGCTCCAGTGTGTGAGACCTTGTAGGAAGGACCAACAAGGAGGATTGTACTTTGGTTAGAACAAGTGAAAAGAACCCCCGAATGATTTTCGCATTCAAAGATTAAGAATTCGGTTGCTCAGTGGGAAGAGGCTGCATAAATAACTCCCTTCAAGGCTCTTTGGACCAGAGCCTGCACTGATATGTGGGTTGGAAGATACAAAACCATCGCACAACAACAGAAGCAATCGCCCGAGACACACCACGAGGTTCTGTTGAACAAAAACGGCCAACAGGCATGGCTTGGGGAACACAGGCAACATGGTTGTAGCGGCCTACCAAGTCGATTGACATGTCCCACGGTGGCGAGATTTACAGGCATCTCTGCTTTAGAGCTTGATTCACAGTCATGGGCATCATGCACAGCTCTTTTGCCCCAAGAGAAGTCTCAAATTAGAAGGGGGAAGCCGGCAAACATCCAACGCAAGCTTTCCTGTAGAAGTAGGACGACATGATGTCGCAAAGACACTCGATGCCGTAGACCATGGGAGGAAGTCCAATGGCGGATCCCTGAGCTGCATCCCTTCTTCCAATGGGCCGGCGGTGGCATCGAGCTCGAGTCCGCAACGCAAGGGCTTGACGCACGGAGGAGGAGAAAAGCAGCGAATGAGATCCCTTGCCTTCACCGAATTCGTCGAGATTGCAAGCATTCAGAATCCCCTTGTTTCCTGACACTTGTCCGCCCTCGGGACGAACCATGAAGCCCCACAGCGGCCGCAGATCAAGACACCACCTTATGTTCACTCGTGCACTCGACTAGAACAAGATTTCAAGAGGACGCGACCGAGACCTGGCCCGCAGCGGGAAAGGCACAGAGCTCATAGCAATAACATGGCCGTTAATGTGGCCCGGTTGCCTCACGGCTCCGTGATCAAGGACGCGCCATGGAATGCATATGGAATGCTGAAAGAACGATCCCGACAAGTGCAGCATGTCAATGGCCGACAAGAACTGAACCAGCCCGGAAATGTGGGTGATGAACGAAATGAGTCCAAGACTAAGGTCTCTGTTTTGGGTCTTTGGGCCTTGTAAAATAGACGTAGCCAAGCTATATTTACTCGTCAGGTACGTTGTGCATTAGGACAACAACAAAAGGCTGAAAGGCAAATTGAATCACACCAAGGGCATATGCGGCCATGCACATACTCATACACATCCCCGCGGGTTTGTCCAAGTTATTTGGACCTTCGTCAGCCCTGCTTTTGTTACTTCCACCGCAGCTACAACATCACGGTGAAGTGCTGTACACACAGAATACTGCAGTAGTATCTTGTGGTGTGGGGATGCCCCGTACTTCAACCCTGGTTCTCGTTGTAGTTGCTGATATTGCGAGGGGGGGCGTGTATCGAGTTTTAGGTCTTGATCAACGTGGCAAGCGGCCATCGGGCTTTTGTCCTATGCTATCAAACATGGCTCTTGGGCTATGCTATCAGAGGCTTGTCGAGTTTGGACAGCGATTGTTATTGATGAGATTGGAAGCAGTCAGCTAACAAGATGAATACTCGGAGGCGTGTACGATTGGTGATTGGACGAGGACAAGCATTGAGGAAAAGTCAATTTGGTCCTTATGGCAGCAAATACATGCTGTTGGGTGGCTCCAATCATTGATAGATATGCTGCAGGGTCTATGGGAAACGAATAGGCCCTGATTGGCTGCTCCGGCATCACATCAAGACCCAGGAACCAAGTTGTTCAAAGTTAGAGCCGATTGATAGTCGGGGTACGTCGTGTGGCAGCGGCAGAGAGAACTTATGGAGTACCATATCAGAGAGGAGGAGGGGTGTGTTTAAGGCACCTTTGCTGGTGGAGGATGGTGATGCGATGAGAAGACAAGACCATATGGGGCTTTAAGTAAGGATACCCAATCGACACATACAATCAAGCCTCTTTATCCCGCAGGAACAAAAAACAGAAGCGAATGCAAATGCAGACGCAGACGCAGACGCAAATGCACAAGCAAAAGCAGAAGTTCAAGCTCATAATGGGCGGCCATTAATCTGGCCCGAATTGAGGAGGGCAAGGGGTCCAAGGAACGAATGCGATTGCTTGTTGGTTGTGCCGGAGTCCCACATGTGGATGTAGGATACCATATACAGATACAGCACGAAGATCGAATACGCAGAACGTCGCCTGGATCAAACAAGTATAAGTTGCCTTCGACATCCACTCGGTCTGGACTACATCTCATCCTCATCATTCTGTTGCCCGCGAACAGTCTACACATCACGCTAGCCCTTCAGTTGACCAGTTTCTTAATCATACCTTGTTCTACCAGGCCAACCTCGACTTCATACGTTATACAAGAGCAGCTACAGACCCATATCACGGCTCCAGGACGCTGGAATTCTTGAGATATCGACCACTCAGCACAGCAACGCAGTCGATTGTACCAGCACCCTAGACTGAGGACTACAGGCCTGAAGTAAACAAGTCTCACTCAGTTGCCTCAATATCAACGAGGACATTCGAACACTACCAGCTTCCAAATCTTTGCTAGGTCGCGTACAGCTACTGTATTTGCCCTTGGGCCTGGCTGTACAGTCCATCTCACAGTAGTCACACGCCAAGCACGTAAGTTTGACGTATATCCTGCTCTGTTCAGATTAATCAAGTGCATCACCAACATCAATATATGTCCCCCCCTTGTTGCACTGCTCTTGTTATGTACTATCTGTCGAGACACCACTCGGCAAGAATACGTACGGGTACGAGAGGTTATGAGGGGTTGGCAGACGGTGACCATGATGAGATAATGTCATGTCTACAGACGAACGAAAAAGGCAGCCAGTGGTATGGTTATGAGTCCAACAAGTGGGAGTTGTTTGCATTGGGTAGAAACAAAATTGCCTGCCCAACGCGAAGGGGAGGCACAGAAGGCATAGAGATAATAGAAGAGACCCAGTTACTAACCTGTGTGTCCTAGGATTCTTCTCGACTTGATTAACCGAACCTTTACATTGTTTATAACGTTCCGGCTCAGCGACCGTTGGATTGCCCGAGGGTGGCTGACTTTCATCGCTTCGACACGACTCGACAAGTGTTGACTTGAACTTCGGGTTCGGCTCGAATCGACCACGAGTTCGCCTCTGGAACTCCGCTCTCCGCCTTCGGTGTTCCCGCTTCTTATCCTCTTCTGTCGAATCAGTCAGAAGATACCCTGCTTTTGTCGCCTCGACTATTCGCCACTAAGCCTCTCGTTAACCCTCGAAACCATTGAGCCATGTGTTACTTTGACCAAACTCGCTGGGCATGCGGCTACTGGCGCTGGGGGCACTTCCGTCAGCAGTGCAACAAAGAATACCGCATGGGCGAAACTTGCGGCCTGAAGCTTGTCTACGAAACCAGGACCGAAAGAGACGTTTGCAAGCTCTGCCACGACACGGAGAAGAAGCAGCGCAGGTATGACAAGATGTATCGTGACGTTCAGCGCTGGCAGAGGGAGGGCAACCGAAATGCCACCATTGAGCGAACGTGTGCTGAGATGCAAGAAGTCCTTGGTCAGATCTATCGTATGAGAGAAGAGCATGATCACAGGCTACAATCCCTTGGCCAGGTGAGTTTGAAACATGATGTTCCTTTTCCTTTCCTTTATGTCTATTCGCATTGAGTAAGGAGCCCGAGCCCGAACAAGAAAGACGGACGAAAAAGGGCTGGAGGCATGACTGAGCCGAGGGCACATAAAAGAAAAAGTCCCAAAGAAAAGGAAAAAGAGGGACGGGAAGCCCAAAAGGGGGTGTGAGGGGCGTGTGCGTGGTTGTGATGGTGCTGCTGTGCTTCTTGCAGATGCCGTGGTCTGTGGGTGTCGGGGCACGGGCATGGACATGGGCACGAACATTGTGTGTGGTGAGGAGAGAGTGTGAGAATATGAGTGGCTAACCTATTATTGCAGTGAAGTGACGAGATGCCAAGAGCGATATATCCAACGACGACAATGGACGAGCTGATATACAGTGGTGAAGGGACAGTATGGTTGAAGTATTAGCTTCGTACAAAATTGCGGAAACCGACCAGGGATACCAGGACATCTATAATGACGATTATGACAACCTTGTTTTATGTTTGGGCGGACGAGAAACGAAAAATGTTGCGATGGATGCCGAAAGAAGGAGCTCGGCCAAGAAGGGGTGAGGAAGAGGGGCAGAGAAGATGAGGAGACAGGGAGGTGAAAACAAACTCTCTTGTGAGCATGGCTTTGCGGTGGAATATTTTCTCCTTTATCCTTACCTTTCTACACTTCATTCGTCTGTCATAACAGACAAATTGCTCTTTTTTTCTCTCTTCCAACAATTTCAATATATTGGTGGATCATCCTAGGACCTGTGTGAGGGGCAAGGCAGAGACAGAATGAGAGGACCCAAAACGAAGAAGTCCTTAGGGCCACAGCTGGGGCATGCAGAGGGTGTCTGTGGGACGGACCCAGACGCTGCCAGGTCCATGTTTATATCTTTCTTTATACCCACAGGTGCGAACCGTGTGGACAATAGGTCAACTTAACGTGTGTTATCTTGAAAAAGTCCATACTCTTTCTATATTCTAGGTCAGCACTCAAAGTGACGTAAAGGCTGTTAACACGAAGGCATAGCAGCATCTAGCTCTACTACCCTGACCTTTATGGCGCGGCATGCAGTACATAGTAAAAATTGCAGAAGTGGGAGGGTGGCAGTGCCATCATCATGCATGGGCAGACGGAGCTTGGGGTGTGGGCCATGAACAAGCAATGAGAGTTCAGTTCCTTGTTACATGTTGATCGGAGACGCCGCTTCTACTATGTATAGCTCGTGTGATGACGACAGTTGGAAGCTAGAAACAACTGGGGAGACTGGCTTCGACACCAAGATCGATGTTGACGGGCCAGAGAGAGGATAATGGATAAAGTGAGGAGACGACAGATATCAATTGAGGAAATACGACAGGTAAGCGTAACCGCAAAAGACGCAATCGGCTGGAGGAGGCGTCTATGGGCATCGAATAGGGGAATAGCAATAAATCAACGACCACCACTGGAGCAGTGTAGCGTCAATGAGAACCTGTTGTGTTATTTCTCTCAGGCGCTGATAAATACCGGTGCTATGTGAGGGATCTAGCCTATCAGTGTCGACTACATACCTAGGTATGCAGCGGAAACCATTCGAAAAAGGCATATACCCTTGCTTATCGGGGGTTTCAGGGCATATATCTTTGATAACCCCAAGCCCTTGGTCAACGAATAGGCATGAGGGTATGCGGAAGCAGGTGCTAGAGCACAACACCAGAGGCATCGGGGCTCCATCCTCCAGGTCCCTCAATGTCTCAGATCATCTGGGTTGTTTTTCCGCCCCCAATTGTTCATTTCCAGTTGGCAGTGTGGGCTGTGCCTGTAGCATGGATCGCAACTTTGGTCGGCGCTTCGGACGTAGAGTAGAGCAGAGCGTATGGTTATAAAAGTTCCCGTGATGGGTGATCGACCGAAAGGAGTTGATGGGAAGGTATTGTAATCATGGCGGAAATTGAAATGGAGCTTGCGGGCGGCATCGTGGAGTCGGGCGGTGACGAAATGAGACACGGGGATGAATATCGACGTTGCAAAATCTAGAGCTGATGGTGACAGAGTTGCCAATCATGAATAGTATAGCTGTCTTAGCAAGTTTTTGTGGTTAATACCATCGTCAGAGTCGCTCTCGAGGTAACAGCATGGGGGCCTCAAAACTCATCGAGTATAAAGCAATTATGCAGTACCAGGCATGTATGACATTGAGCAGGATAGATTCAAGCGATCAATAGGTGCAAAGACGTAACCAAAGCGAAAGGTGGAGACATGATAGTTTTCAGGGCTCAGACTCAATTGGCAAGCAGGTTAGTTATGCCATAATTGCAGGCATTCGGTTCGTGAATGCGGTCTGCATATTTGGACAGGGTTGCCCACCACCGAAAGGTTCGAGAAGAGCTACGGTGAACAGCAGCAGCATGTGACTAATTCGTAATGCGAGCTTTGCTTGCCCAACCTGCACAAGACCTACCAACGACATGAGGAAAAGCCGACGCGATTTAAACCCATGAACACATTCCATATCATATCTGACTGGTCGAGTTCATGGCTGTCCGCCTTGCTGGTCACCTTGACCGTAATGGGACCCCTGTTCGTCCCAAACTGACCCGCGGCGCGCATAATGTCTGTCAAGTTCCTCGTGCGAAGACAAGACAGTTTTAACCCTTCCAAAGTGTGGACTATCGGACTGAGTACGTAGCCTCCTTCCTCGAAAACCCTTAGCACCTCATGGACGGTCCCCTGTTTAACAAAAATCTGAGCCCTGTCTTGGACGGGCCCAGCCTCCCGTCAACGGGGTTCAGGGGCCTAACGTCTCCTGAAGCAGATGGCTAAGGGCTGCTTCCCGACAATATGGCTTTCCTCACCCGAGAGAACGGAAAAATCCCGGGGCCCCCTCTTATTTGTCTTCTTTTCCCAGCGTACGGGTCGCTCCAAGAGCAGCTCCCCATTCCATGTCTCCGTGGTGTCGTGGTGGCGGGCTGAACCATGACAGACAATTTCTCAAACAAATCCCGAAGGTTTGGGACGTGGGCGGGATCTTGTTCAGGTTGACGAAAGAGATCCATCGAAACCTCCCCAGTGGATGGGGTCCCATGCAAGCCGCCCATCAACGGTGCGAGCCGAAGCCGGAGAAAACCAGACTAAATCAAGGGCCGACGGCAAGCTAAAGGAACGGCCACCATCCTCCTTGAATCTTTGACCTTGCTCCCCTGGTCTAGCGTCTATTACCACCCCACTGACTGCCGGGCCACCTCGAATTTGGTGTGAGCCAGCGTGAGGGGAACGCACGTGTCTGATGCTTAATGGGTGTTCTCGGTTCTCGACAAGTCACGCTTCCATTGTGGACTGATGGGGTTTGACTCTAGCTCATCGCTCGTGCTTCTTATGCGCGGCAGGCTGCGAGAGAAAGGCCGATGACGAGGGCCTTGAAACTAAACTGCCTAGGGTTTCGTTCCAGGACCCAGCTCAATAAGACGAGGGGAAATTTTCTGTAAAATTCGATTGGGTGTGTCTGCTTGTACGAAGTCCACTTCCTGCCCACAACAATCAAAGAAGTCTGCACAAAAGACTGGCGGCAAAAACCAAAAACCAAGAAAAAAGAGATGGAGAGATAAAATAGAAGTGCAGGTCTGCACCGAGTGTTAAGTGCTAATCAGTTTCTATGCAACGACAACTCCGTCTACCGAAGGGTTCCACTGCTTCAACAAAATGAGCAGCAACCAGAAATTTGGTCACAAAGACCGTATTAGTCGAGGTTAGTATTCAAAGAAAATGGGCCGGTGAATAAGCGATGCTTTTTTTTCGCTCATTCTTGTCCTAGCCACTTCACCGACATGCCCAGCGAAGGTGAGACCAGGATGAACCTCATCCAATTTGAGCCACCAGGGGGGTGGTGGTTCAGATCGGGGCAATCGCAGCGGTCTTGAACACCAAAACGTACTGTGTGTATCGTCATCAGTCGTGTATCGCGAATATTGCATTACAGTTTCATGTCGCAATTGCTGACTCCCCACTCTGGGGCTCTCAGCTTTCTCTTCCGCATTGTTAACGAAGGGAGCTTCCTCTGTTCAAAGAAGGCCGTCATTACTGCATTGCCGCCGCAGCATCTGCAAAGGTCCCCACAAGAGGACCCTCATCGCTCTCGAGAGTCTTGATGCTAGCTGGACCATTCTTTTGCATCTCTATGGTCTCGTCTTCTGGAAGCCAGTCGACCTTGACACCGCTCACTGGGTTATTGTCACCCTGGTTGCTAAGTTTTGATACGAGATGTTGGTATCGTGCAAGGCGTGCACCTTGACCAGCGTAGGCGAAAGGTGTTGTTGCTCCACGATTTGTGTTCTCTTGCGGAGCGATATCAAAGATGTCCACCATGTTGCTATCGGTCTAGATTAGCATCCTTCAAGGCCCCTTGATCTCACGAACGTACTCTGATGTCTTCGCTATTACTCGTTGAAGGGCCTCGTTCTCTCGCTGAGCTTCGAGCGTATCGTTCTCGCCGTTTATAGCTTGGTCCCCGAAGCTACCGTACTGCATACCGTTTGCGTCATCGTAGAGAAGGCGGTTCTCTTCCTCCTGACAGGCATAGCATTAGTAAAGAGTCTTGCTGATATTGATGCAGGACCTGCGGTCGAAAGATCGCTTGATAACACACCTCATCGTAGTTATTGCCATCACCCCTTCCCAAGCATGATGCGCAAGCTCCCATTATTACGTAGGTAATCGAAAATCTCAGGTACACATATCAGATCGTAAAGCGGACTAGATGTGGTGTACTGTCGCAAAGAGTCGGTTATTATCTCGAGAACATGGCCCAGAAGCGAAGAATAGAAGTGTTAAGGAGCGTGGAAGGTTGTAGCAGCTTGGTTGTACAGCCTCGTGACTTCGTGATTGCTCTCTTCGTGAGGCGCGCCTGCTTCACGACGTACGTTACTCGCTCAGTGGGTCCTTCTTCAGGAACCCGAGGCTGCATCGGGTAAACAACGGCCCGCTCGCCACCATATCCATGTTGCTGGGACCAACAACAACGAACAATCGACTTCAATTCAACAATGACAAAGACAAAGAAGGACATCCTCTAATGCTGAGGATGCGGCCAAGGTGATACACGAGGCGAAAATGGCAGTGAGGTATATTGTGAAGGACCATACTTGCATTGCAACCTTGTTCAATGCCTATTCGTTACTCAGTCTCCCACGCTCCCTTAATACTCCCTTGACATTGGATACCCCGGGTAAGGGAGCATCAATATTCAGGTGTCTCGTTTTTTCTCAATGCTTGCTTTTATTTAAGGGCACCAAGACTAGTGTCTTCCAATTCATTGTTGACTTTGCCCTGGCCAACCCCGCTGTCTAGTTCGCGTGTTGACAACAGCAAGCACCACTTCAGTGTGTACCCCTTCACATCTTGGCCTTTCAGTAAAGCCTTCTTTGAACAAACCCTGGCCCGCTTCATCCAAGGGATTGACTACACAAATGTCTGTTATATTGCCAATGTCTCTCTCTGATGGATTAACTTCACTCGAAGACGTCCTTCGATCGCAGCTATTGCCTATGTCCTTAGCAATAGTTCTTGTCAATGATGTCCCTTGAGGTGATACCCTCATCGCCCTGGGTTCAGGTTAAGATGACGCAGAAAATGATAGCTATAAGGATGTGTCTCTCGCATCAACTGAACACATTCTGATCATCATTAATACTGCCCTTCTAACAACCGACACCTTCTTCCTCCTCTCTCAGTCAAACTTGACTCGCACATAAGTCTATTGACCTTGATTGATCTTCATCTTCATTTCTGTCTCAAAATGGTCCGGTTTACCCCTCTGGCAGCACTGGCCTTGGTGCCCCTGGCTCAGGCACGCTTCGACTGGCTGTATCCACGAGACACCATTGCTCAATGTCCTCCTTGCTCACTAGAGAGCGAGCCCAAGGATTGTTCTCACACAGTGACCGTCACTAAGCCCTCTGGACCATACGAGACTGTCACTGTCTCGGATCCCAACGGCTCTTATCGCACTGTTACTGTCACAGAACAAGATGGTCCCGGAAAGACTGTTACTATTACCCAGAACTACCAAAACCCTCAAACCAAGGTTGTGTACATCAGCCAGGGCGAGACGGTTGAGCCAGCCATTGAAACTATCACCGTCACCCGTCCTGGAAAGACTGTCACTGTGACCGCGACAGAAACAGAGACCAGCAAGCACATCATCACCAAGAAGATTGATAGCTATCCCGGCCCCAAAACAGTTACCATCAGCAACGGCCACGAAGAGGTGGTGACCGTTACAGGCAAGGATCGGCATGAAGTTACCAAGACTGTGACTATGGAGAACGGCAACAAGGTTGTCGAGACCATCACAGCTGAGAACACCAACAACTACGTCGTTACCAAGACCATCCAGCAAGGTGGCAAGTACTATACCGTCATCGTCAAGCCGGAGCCGGCCGTCAGCACTATCACCAAAGAGAATGGCGACTGCATTACTACTGTTGTCGAGGTTGATCAGACCTACACATTGACTGCTCCGGCCAAGTATGGAACTGCTACTGTAATAGACGACGACTGCGAGACTTACACAAGGACTGCCACTTACACTGGTAAGCCTGAGGTTGAGGTCATTGTTTACGACCCGGAGACTGGCGACTCAACCTGTACAAAGGAGGACGGAAAGCCCTGCAACCCTGGCTACGACAATGGTGGTGATGGTAGCATGGGCCAGTATGAAGATCCTACCAACACAAAGGGCCAGGACGGAAGTGGCAACTACAACAGCAACGCCCCTTTATACACCAAAATCCGAACTTACGGCAACGGTGATGTCTACACCGAGGTCCATGGTGCTGAACCAACTGGATGCGAATCAGCTGCAGTCTCCACGAGCATCGCTACTGTTTATAACACCGTGGTTGTGACAGCAGATGCGTCACCGTCAAAGGCCCCTACTGCCGAGCGCCGAGCAGCAAACAAAGTTCGGTCACCCCTATCTGTTCGATGGTGATGAATCGATTGACTAGAGCATATACCTTTCCTTGAGTTCAAAATTGGTGGAGTATCTATTTCGGCATTTAGTTCAGCATATGGTGGGATGGTTATAATGCGGACATGTAATCAGTATTCAATGTAGTAATTAAATTTGAGTCTTTTTATGTTTATGCTCTTTTGAAGCGCCCAGTGCCATGTAGATTATATCTTGCCATTTCGAACAAACAAGGTGCAGCGTCTTATCTGAACGCACACCTTTAAAGAGCTGCTAGGCACTTCTTCAACTTAGGCATAACAATAGAATTGATATCTGAGAGATAAAATATTTATATATTAGGAAGCATATCGCCAGATACTATCAATCATCACATGAATAATAATCGAAGGAAAGTACTTTGTATATATTCAGGACATACCCTATAGGTGGAGAATGATGGTGAGGTTGGAATTCTTAATGTCGCACTAATAATATACAAAACAAAAATGGATGCAAAATAGATACAGTACGTACGGATACACATCCTAATTCGAAAAGAAAGTTCTGTTTGCTACATAGCGGTGGATATTCCGGAGATGATATTAGCCTCGAACACACAATGCTATCGTGCCAGGGGATATACTGTGTGTATACAGTACAGTATATATGTTTTTGGCGCAAGACATGTTGCAAGTGTACAGTGCATGTCATGATCGCTACGCCCTGGCACAGTACAGTCGTCACGACTGGAACGTAAATTTAATCAACTGAAACCTTCCAACCTCATTCTTAACCACAAGCGATATTTGACGGGAACCATACCGAAAGCCACGTGCGATACAGCAGCAGGCCTTAACCAGCAAGCGACTGGAATGATGGCTTCATATTCACGTTCCAGCGGTAACTACATATGTACAACCAGCCCTCATTTAGCGTCTTTCCAGCTTCACCAGCCTAGAACTTCGACAGGCCTGAGACTCTGAATCAACGATTGAGACCAAGGCCCAGACCATGGAACACAAAGTATCTTTCGGCACTTCTTGATCAATTACGGGGCTACGAGAAGCTTATGTCTATTAGACAGGCTGTAGCACAGTCTAGATTGAACACCAAGTTCTCTGTTATCGAACAACGCACGAAGGACTAACTTCTTATCACGGAATCCATTCGTCTTGATCTGGAACGGCTGAATTATAGACTTAACAATCGTTGAAGGTTACGAGAATGGAAGTGTCTGTAAGAAACAATGACATCGTATGGACTGATCGGGAATGCGATCATCGTCAAAATGTCAACAAAAACTATCTTCACTGCGTGTTACCGAAGTGGCTGACGATGTCGACTTCCAAAAGACCCTGAATGATCGCTGCCATCTATTGCATCATATCTGAAGCTTTGGACCCTGGAAGCACCATGTTACAAGATACGACGACGTATTCGCGCCAGCCAACAGACACTCTTTCTCGTAACGCGTGTCCTCAAGTCCGGATACCGTATCCGTCCTATCAATTAATAAAGCCCCGCCTCGCCATCGCCAATATCGTATAGCGTGTATGGTAAACTGGGTGAAATGTCTCGGAATTTACGAGCTTGGGTAACTAGCCACAAGTGTCTACTCACTGAATGTCTCAAGGATTTGTTTCCTTGCCACTCATCGCATGAGGCTACACTAACAAAGCACGATATGATACGGCCTGCCTGGACTTACATACCTGTGTGGACCTGGAAGAGATGTTGCCCAGTCTTTTTGACTCATTTACTATTTGAGGCTCAAATGGATGCAGCAGGATACAACTATCACTCCAGGGAGAGCCAATGCAATTGGCTCTCTCATTGAAGGGACAAGTTGTGAGCAGGTGTAATGTCTTAGTACCAACTTATTTGACAGGAAGTTTATCTGACTAGCCCAAGTCTTGCTATCCCCTGATTTACAGGCATTGTCTGGTCTGTTGTAAGTCTGTCCGACCTTAGGGTCAACCTTCACAACTCTTGTTACCCACATTGCCATATCCGGCCGCCTACGAATCGGATCGACGGCCATACCGATGCCAGGCGCCCGATACTTCCCTTCTGTTGTTCCTGAACGCCAAGAGGCCAATCATCATGAGGCGTATGGCCTTCACGACGGTTGCATACGCCGAGCGATATCTTTACCACCCAGGCTGTGCCAGTGGGCCGTGTATCGTAGAGCAACCAGCCTCATTGGGTCGAGCGTATTATCCAAATTCGATCATTGTCACCAAAGGCGTCACACCCGGCTCTAGACCCCTCATAAGCCTTTTTGGACTCGACCGTCGTGGAACATATTGTCGACTGTTCCTTAAACGACAGGAATCCCAGAGTCGGGACCGCTGAACCTAGTTCTCGCTCGTGGGTCTCGAATCTCTGTCTCTCAGGCACATGCAACCTTGCTTGACTACTTAGATATCAAGCTTCCCGCACATAATGATTCACTTACACTGAGTTGTCTTATGCGATAAAATCAACTCACAAGATGAAGTCATCAGACTTGCCGCCTTCATACTCCAGGGCGGCTGCCCGGGCGCTGAACTGCACACGAGGTCACATTGGGTTATGTGCCATCCTACTCATGTTGATGATGTCGACCCTCGTATGGAGGCAGAGAGATTTGGTCGCCGTCAAACTTCCTGTTATGGAGCAACGACCGCCGACGACCCTCGATTCTAAAGCACCAACAATTGCCGGCATAAACGGAACCCTCGATCGTTTCTGGTCATCAAACGGAGAAAGTGTACAAGATCTGGTACACTGGTCGAAGCCCAAAGGTGTTGATAAGATCATGGGACTTGTATTTTATGGAAGACGACAATCGGTATCAATTCTTGATTGCTATCTCAAGGTACAGTCTGTCCACGCCGACTTGGAAACATCAGGCTAACCTCGACAGCGCAATCTTGCAAAGAATGGCGGCTTGCTTGATGGTGTCATCTTTGTGGAACGAACCAAAGACCCCCACGACCTTGCACTATTGAAGAAACTCTTGGAAAGCGAGAATTCGTACGAAAAGTGGTCTGTTGAGATGTCAGGCGACGATAACTTTTCGACTGGCTTTGGGAACTCCTACGACCGGGTTGAGGATCATGTCATGTATGTCAAGATTGACGACGACATCGTAAGTCTCACCGTTTGTAATTGGTTCCTGTGAAACCGGTACTAATAATATGTAGGTTTTCATGGAGGATACTGTTATTCCATCTATCGTTAAAAAGAGACTCGATCATCCCGAGTACTACATCGTCTCGGCCAATGTCATCAACCAACCCCTTCTCAGCTGGGTCCACTGGAATTTGGGCGCCATCAGGCCCTATCTCCCCGAGGTCGACAGCGAAGGAAAGGCGATGCCCTCGAAACAATCTGGCCAGAAGCCTCTGGATTGGAATCCCTCTAACCTGCCACCATGGAACGGCCCCGAGGGATTCTCGCTCGATAACTGGGAGGCCAACGACACTACTCATCGCTGGCTCCCTCTTGACAAGGGCGGTAAAGATCATATTCTCGACACAACTCCCATCGAAGCGACAGAGTATCATCCTATGGGCCGCGGCTGGACTCAGTGGACGATTGGCGCCCAAGAACACTTCAGCTTCTTCGAAAACCTATGGAAGAAGAAGCTGTCCGCCTACAAGTTCGAAACATGGGACTTTCAATACGAGCGAATGGGCATCCAGTTCGTTGCCTTATTAGGAAGGGACATCAACCGAGCCAAGCCGATCGAGGCCGATGATGAGAACCACTTCTCATGTAACATGCCGCGTGCGCTAGGACGACGTAAGTGAACCGCCTGAATCGTACGGCCGAGGGTTTTATTAACAGACTTTACAGATGCCGTTGCCGATGGACGAGGCGTTGCCGCTCATTACAGCTTCGGAAGCCAACGCGCAGGCATGGACCGAACCGATATCATTGATCGCTATAGGTCGTTCGCACGTAACAATATCTGTGCTGGACCTATGCTGTGGGCTCCCGGAGATGACTAGTTATGAGTACCACATGACGATCGATCATTTTGCCCTTAATCTTTTGATCAACGGTGTTAGTATGTTTCAGTGACTGCGACTTTATGCATTAATGCATCTAGTCAACATTCACTTGGAGCCCAGCCATGGAGTTCAGGAGTTGGTAGAAATTGGTTGTAGACTCGTACGCATATATAAAGAGTATATTAGAGCGTGATACTGACGTACATAATAAAAATACAATATACATAATCTTTTGTCACGAGGTTATTTGGAGTTCTGAGACCCAATTTGTACATTGTTTTCTCGTGGTTTTCTCAACAGCACTGGTTGATTGCTTAGAGTCGATGTGATCACAGTACTTGCAACAATATGGCCCAAGATCTGAGAAGAAGAGTTACAAATTTAGAGAAACTAACAACGACGACCTGAAAGTACAATTTGTTCGCTTTCTGCTTTTCAGTTCGTTGAGATGTCGTCCATCCCTATTACATCAGAACACGCTTGCTGGAAAAACTCATGTTAAAGATCGCAGAGGCCGTCTCAGTACAACCAGTTTGCATGAGCATAGCCAGAGTCGTACGGGAAATTACATAGCATTGCTTCAAGCAAGCGACTTGGGAGGCGGGTAGTCCTCGAAAGTGTTGGATTCGTGTCGAGTGAGGTTGGTCTCCTTCTCGACCTGGGCGAGATCGATGTGAGCAACAGCATCGTCACCATCGAAGATACGGGCGATCTCCTCCAGGGTGGGTCCCTTGGTCTCGACGTAAAAGTACCAGACGAAGATAAGTTCACAAAAGTCCCAGAGGGTGTAGAAAAGCATAAAGTTCCAGTGATTGGGCATGTTGTTCCACGCAAGCTTGTTGGTTTGGCTGTTTTTTGTTAGTTACCGAGTTTCCATCGTTGGGGGATTGAGATATGACATACTTTCCAATGGCAAGGATGGCCTGAACAGTGATGTTCATGATCATCATACCCTTGGCACGAAGGTGGAAGGGCAGAACCTCAAGAGCGTAGGCAACGAGCAGGCCGGAGAAACCGATATCGTAGAAGATACCGAAGAGCCAGACGAAAGCAATCTGGGCATAGCCAGCACCAGTGTTGGAGTAAGCGACACCACCATCAGGCTGCTCCTCTGTGGGAGGGGTCTTGAATTGGGAGTTCTCGTAAATGCCACCGGTGAGGGTCCAGAGAATGAAAGCGAAGACCATACCGGAGATGGCAGTGAGGAAAAGAGGACGACGTCCGATCTTGTCGACAGTGAAGGCAGCACCAATGGAGATGGACAGATCGAGAATGGTCTTTCCAGCAGAGAGCTATAAGAAGAAGAGAATCAGTAAGGTGAATAATTAAACAATACCACGAATGAGACTTACAGCAAGCTTCTTGTTCTGCTCCTTGATTCCAGCACCCTCGTAAATGACATCCATGTAGTTGGAGAAGAGAGCGTTACCAGAGTACTGAGAAATGATACCGAGGGAGATGATGATGGCAAGGCGCCACCGGTTACCGCTTGTCTTGAGGAAATCGATATATCGGGTAGATGTGACAGACTTATCGGCCTGGATAGTCTCCTTGATTTCACGGTACTGGAACTGGACTGTGGCATTGTTCACATCACCACCGGCATGATGCTTGGCAAGAACCTGGAGAGCCTCCTCTGACTTGTCCTTGTTGATGAGGAAACGGGGTGACTCAGGAACCCACCAGATACCACAAAGCTGGATGATGGATGGGACAGCCTGGATGAAGGTAATAGATCGCCACGACCAGTGACCGTTGATGGAAGCAGTGCCCCAACCGACAACTGAAACGACTGCGGATGGTCAGAAAGGATGCAACTTTTGGGGAAATTCGGTACTCACTCAGGGAACCCAAGTTCCAGAGACAGTTGTAGACAGCCGTAAGAGGACCACGGTGCTGGGGATGGCAGATTTCGGTGAGAAGCATGGGCGAGGACATTTGCGCCAGAGAGTTACCGAAACCAAGAACAAATCGGCCGCCCATATACACTGGAGTAATTTATTAATACATTTGCAAGAATGATTCGAACAGGTACTTACTGCCGTAGCCATTGCAGAATGCAGAGACGAAAGAGCCAGTGATCATGATAACACAGCCAAGCATGATAGTGGGCTTTCGGCCCCAGTTATCGGCAAGGTAGGGGACAATGAAGAAGGAGACAATAGAACCAATATTGTACATGTTGATAAGGATTCCGAGCTTGCTTTCGTTCTTCTCCTCAGGGAAATACTCCTTCCACTTGTCCATTTGTTGAGAGGTGTTGACCATCATACCATCGTATCCAGTGGTAGCCGAGGCGATCAGCAGGAAGATAATGAGGAAGTAAAGCTTACGCAAGTGAGGCTCCTTGTACCAGATGACTTTCTCGAATCTGGGAGCCTCAGCTTGGGCAATATCGAGAGGTACCCGGTCGCTATGGGCTGGGACCTTGGAGCCAATAGGCTGGAGGAACTTTGGCAGAGCCATTGTGAGCGTGAAACAATTGATCAATGATGTGTTGAGTTGATTCTAAACTGGCCCAATGTATGGGGTAGTGATGCTTCTCTTGAGGAGAGATGACCGAGTAAAAGTGTTCAGGGTTCCCCGGGTTTGCACTGCTTCTTATAGAGATAACATCTTGAGTAGCAGCAGTAGCAGCAGCAACACGAACCACCCCGGCCAAGTCAACCCCATGCATTGTCACCGTGGAGCTTCAGAGACCGGGATAGTGTTGTCAAGTTCCTATGAACAAGCATCCGTGTATTGGGGCCGAAGCATGTACCAGGCACAGCGAGGTGGAGTTATGAGCCGGAGATGGTGTGTTTGGGATCACCCTAGCGGAAAGACGGCTATGGGGGCTTGGATAGCTCGTTTAGGTATTGATTCGCTTGAATGCTACTCTGTCTGGGGGTGAGCTTAACTCAGGCATACAAAAATGCACCAGTGAGTAGGTTCGGTAGATCAACGCTGAGACGAGGTCTCTGAGGACCGGGGGAGTCTACTCAACCTGGAGCAGATTGACCAGGGGGAGGAGTGCTGAATGAAGGGTTAGGCCGCCAATCAGGGTTGATCGAGCGCTTGTTTGAGTAATCTCGACCTTTAATTATGGCTGAAGTCCGTGATGCTGGGCCGCAAGGAGGCCATTAACCCGTGCGTGCCAGTCTTCTTGACCGTTTTGATCAACAAGCGTGATGGTGGTCTGATGGACAAGAAACACAAGTTATATTTCCCCTTGGTCATTTCCCAATGCCTTCAGGGCCGGTTCCGTACAACAAGCATACGCCGTTGCTTTGACGGCCGTGGGGTTGAAACATGGTCGTATTTCTTGAGATTGGACCCGCATGACGGGTTTAACGTAGAGGAACTTAGCACCCGCTACTCCTGAAACGTTGCTCGCTCTTTGCTTATTTGGACACTTACATGTATCACATAGTCGCACAAGCATCGGGATTCTACGATGATATGGTGCTGATGCCTTTCGTCGAAAATGCTCGCCCCGATTGTTAATACCCCTGATGTGTCCCAACTAGAGTTAAAGTCTAGATTGAGCGATGTAACCCTTACCGCTTGGTCAAGTTCATGTAAGTGCTGTTCATCCCTGCAGCCCACAGGTCAAGGTCTAGGGGCAATAGTGCAACCGGGAAAATAGACTTGGTATTCATCACCTATTGTTGCTCTTCTCCGCCAGGACCAAAAAAGCATGGAGGAGTGTTCAGAGTCCGGGGCTAGACTGGGGAAAGGGGTCCGGGGTAAGCGGGTCTGGGGTCCAGGAACCGGAGGTTGACCTCGGGAATCATCGCCTGCTAGACAATACTCTGTCTTGTCTAGAGAAATGGCTTAATGTAGCCTACCAGTAGGCAAAAAGGAAAGACCGTGGTGTGACTCCCAGGCTGGTTTCACCATTCATAATTTGCTGTCACCGTCCAGAGGGTTTCAGGGCCCAGCCAATGAGGTGTCATGCGACAACTGCTTGTTCATGGGTTATAGGCAGGATTGGGTAGGATTGTGCTTAGCACGAGGGGGCTAAAAACGCCTCTTATCGGATATCAGGGCCGCAAAATGAATTACGCGTCTGTCGGTTGTCTTTGACGGTTCTGACCATCAGTGGACTTGATATCGAATAAACTTCACGATCTTCGGTTGCTCCCGAGCCTTGGAACGCCGAGAACCCGAATATTCGGTAAATCTGGAGAAGATGCCCTGAAGGCCCAGAAAAATTGAGTGAAATAGTTCTCGGTAACGTGCTTCAATGGGGCCGAACGTGCCCTCACTTGGCAGACCCATCGATCAGCACGCCGAGACGCGATGTGATTTTCGGTTATCGGCATATGGGCCAAGAATGAATCAAGCTTAAAGTGTATCATCAGACCAGCGGCAGATGCATTGTCAATCGCCGGTTAATTGAGTGAGCATGGTATTGTTTGTCGGCTGAGGTCTGTCTGCACTGTTGCTGTAGTTGGGGACTAGCTGGATCGTGCAACACGAAAATTAACCCTTGACACGGTTGGGATGGTGTACGGAGACGCGGGAGAGCTGCCGATAAGGACCATGAAGGAGGGCCATATTCAGCGATTATTTGCTGACAGGATGCCCTCCATCGGCGCCGCGTAAAGTATCGTACTTAGTTGCTCGGTTAAGGAGGCACACCGTTGTAACCTTAATCTAAACTCGTGAAATGAAGGCACACCATTTTCAAGATGCAATGCAAAATAACCGGAGCGGTGGTTAGAGGCGAAGAATTTGTTGGTAAGAGGGTCGAAGAATCCGAGTTTACAATGAAACAGGCTAAAATGGAGAAGGCAAGCTGAAAAGATCTTGAGGTCACACTCCAACATTTTAGGGAAGACCCGACCCTCAGGTAAGGTTCTTTCCTGGAGTCCCATCGATGAAGGATTGAATGACCCCCTCCTTCCTGTAGTCCCCGCGTTCTTGCCACGAGGTTAATAAGTGGCACCTGCCTTAGTTTGCGTGCCCCGGACCTTCTCTGTTGGACGACACCATCCAATCAACGTTAAGTAGTAGTCGGTTCAACGGCTGTGGCTGGCCACTTTCATGTTAGCTTCATCTACTCCGTCCATAGGTACCTACGATGGAATCGGGGCCTGCTAGCGACAAGTACCAACTTTTCCTATTTTCATTCCCATTTCCGTTGAGCCGTACATATGAATTTAGCCTGCACCTGTCACTTCCCGGATATTGAGAGATTGCTTTCGACTCCGTATCTCGGTTTGAGGTTCTAGATTCCCTGAGTCACCTTAATTTTGCCATCCCTTGTGATGCACCTTGATCCTCGAGACTCGGGAACGGGACAGTCTTGCACCCCATCTCTGAATGCAATTGTCATTTGCTACTACGTGACTCTTTTGATGATATACATGCACAACAAATGACCAGATGAGCTAGAAATACATCGTTTCCGGCGAGGCCTCCCTTGCCGACGTGGTTGATTGACAGACCATTTCCATCACCCGCACACGTAAGGACCTAAGCAGCTTTCCCCATACACATCTTCGAGTTTCTGTCGACTCGTGACCAATACTTTTCCTTACCCTAGCAAACATTGTGACAAAGGGAATAAACAGCAGTCCAGTTGCACGCCAATAAACCTTCTCAATGCAAACCTTTCTCCAACAGCTGCTGGTGATCAACTGTAGTAAATGTGACAAGCTCCAACCACATCGGTGTCGAACCAGGTTGTGTGATGACAAAACAATTCAGATCTCCTCGGCGGGAAGTGCACCGCTCATGAGGGGGACATCGGTCATGTCATCGTCATCATTTTCTTCCTCCGAAAGGGTGCTACTGGCAGCTCCGCGCTCCAGTTCCTCGATGCTGTCAAGAGCCCGCACAAATTTCTCGCGTTCTCCCCTGAGTGTTCCCCGCCTGGCTGCGGTGTCGGAATCCTCCTCCATGAGTCTCTCATAAACACTCTTGGCATCAGCTCCAGCAATGCCTAGTTTTCGGTCGAGATGGAAGGGCAAATTTCGCTGAATATGCGGTATCATGCCGTTTGTAATGTGCAACGCCACGGCATCCGCGAACCTCAGCGCTGCAAGGCGGTAGTAGCCTCTAACGTAAGCTACCACTTCCAGCTCCCGCTCGAAGGAGTCCGGTCCAAGTTTTGTCAACTCGTTTTCACGTCGCTTTTCGTCGAGAACACGCTTCTCCTCTGTAAGACTTTCCCACGGAACAGGAGCTCGACCATCCCCGTACCCTGCGGCCTGCATACGCATTTGGTGTCGATAACGCGTTAAGAGAATCTGTTCGTCCTTTTGATATCTGCGAAAGGCCTCCTGATTGACAGTGAACAGGCCGTACGTTTCGAGGCGATACACAAGATCAAGTGCTCCCGCTGTTTCTCTGCGACGGTCGTTGAGATACTCTGTTAAAATTTTCCTGCACTCCCGGAAGATCAACCGCTTATTGAGGCTTGCAAAAGACTTGGCCAGTGCCTGATCAAGCATGTCATCCAACAGGCTCATAACATGATCGAGAAATGCTTTCATGGGCCCTGACCATGGTTCAATGGCTTCTCGGCACATGTCGTTATAGACTTCTTCAGTGATGATGTCAGGTACACCAGCTCTGGTCTTAGACTTGATCTCATCACGAACTTGTCGGAGAGTCCTGAAGCCTCGCCCAACTCCACTAAAGGGAGTAAATGGGGCTGGGAAGAGTTGCCGACGGGGAGCAGGGGAGTTGGCCACGCTGGCTCTGCTGTCTTCAGGCTGTAGCGATCGAGAGGGAGTCCCTGCTGGGGTTTGCTCCATGCGAACACGTTTAGATGGCGTAATAGGCGGCGCCATCGCCCGCCGCTTGCTAGGCGTATGTGGGTTGATAGCTGGCGCCACGGACCCCGAATCTGACTCATCATCAGAAATATCAACAACAGGAATATCACTGCTATCTCTGAGGGTAAACTTGGGCTTCATATCTAGCAGACAGTCGCGAAAGTTATCCGGGAGCGGAACGAAATGCTTCGAGAACTCGGAAGGCTTGAGTTGTGTTCGGGTCAGTTCACCAAACTCCATAACACTGGTCTGGACCTCGAGTTCAACATTGTCAGGTAGTTCTGGTAGCTTGTCCAGTTGCTCAACGATGTCAGTTAGACGCTGTCTTAGCTTCTGCTTGATATGGGGTAGACTAGTGAGAAATGTTAGCCTTGTTCCTGATATCGTGTGGGATAGCAACTCCTTGGGTTACCTTTTCGCGAATTCTTGCCCAAGCTTTTCCGACAGGAAAGCCTTCAATTTTTCCACACCACATCGCTCCGAAAATCCATGAAACGTTGCAGGCCATCGCTCGAGAGAATGATCCACGAAAACTAGCTCTTCCCATTTCTTGAGTTCATCAAGGTCCTTGCCCTGTGGCCGCGAAGTGATGAAATATCCCAGACCAGCAATATGAGCTTGTCCCCGCATGATAGCAAGCCATTGCTCGTGGTTTCCACCCTCCGGTATCAGATCAGCCTTGGTCAAAACGCCGATTGTCCTGTTAAGAGCGCCCAGTCTACGTATAAGACCAAAAGTTGAAGAATTCTCTGCATCGCTGTTCATTGGCATAGAACACATGATAATAGCAGATGGGTGTTGGATATACTCCTTGGACAGATTCCTCACGACACTAACAAGATAGTCGTCGCTTGCATCAGCAGGGTTCTGGAAAATACCAGGCATATCGTAGAAAGAAAGGTCGGGAAGTTCTGGGCCTTTGATCTCGAGTGCAACGATATTCGGTGAAAACTTCGCGGCAACTGCTTCGGCGGCTCTGTCGATGGGGATGTTGACAGCCAGGGCACCCGAGCCAGGGACAAATAGCTCGTGACTCTTGTCGTCATTGAGAATAGCGATTTGGGCCCACCTCAAAACATCTTCAATCTCACTGTAATCGATCATGGTCTTGAACTCATGAGTTGCACTGGATGGTAGTTTGCGCCAGGGGAAGAAAGGATCTCTGTCAGTGACGTCCTCTTCCGAGATGCGGCCACTAGGTGGGGGCTGATAGGAGTATGCTTTGCGTAGCGATACACGGCAAGAGGGATCATGACTTCGTGATACCCTGATATGGAGCGGGCATCGTGTGCATGTGCCCTCACTGCGAGGTAGGTCGAGATTTGCGAGACCTGACATCAAACTAGATTTTCCTGCAGACTGATCGCCAACAAGCACAAGCTCGGGAAGCGGGACATCGTGGTCAACGCCAAGTTGCTGGAGCTCACCCAGAGTGTCATTGCACGCCTTGAGCTTCTTTCCGATGTCCTGGAAGGAGGTTTGAAAGAAGCTCCCATCCGTGGGAACATTGGTTGGGCTCTCGGCGGCTGCGTTGGGGCGCATCCTGAGTTCCCTCAAGAGAGGTTCAGGTTCAGTGATGCGCTCACTTGGTGTTGCTTCGGAAATTTTGTCAGTGCATGCGTTTGGAAGAGAAGATGAGAGAGGCACTCACGAGCATCCGATCTATGATGATAGAAGGCCTGATCGGGCGGAATATAGCTGGTACTGCCACCGTAACTAGAGGGAGCAGGAGGAGCAGTGCGAATGCCGAAGTTGACAGTTCCAGAATCGGGCATAGAAGAAGTATTATCCTCTGGGTCTGGTTTGACACGAGGCCCGCGGCGTCTTGATGAGTGTGACATTCTTGTGGATGAGAGACTGTGGGTGGCGCGCGAAGACATTATTGTTGCTGCAGTGGCAGCGGCAGTGGCAACGTGCCGCAAGCAAATTGAATAAGCGATGCCTTAAAGCTCATGAAATTGGCCTATTGTTTTTCTGCTTCACAGAGTAGGCTGCAAAGCTGGAGCCTGGTTGGCCCGTGAGCAGGCAAAGCGCAGAATTGGCTGGAAAGAAAAAGGGGGGTATCAGAAAGCAGTTATAAGTGAAAGAGAATTGAACAAGAAAGGATTCAGAGTAATTCACTGAAAAAAGGGAAGTATCACAGACGTGGATATACAGAATAGGAGATGTTGAGCTGAAGTTTCATATGTAAGACGTAGCTCGCAGATTGGCGGTTGGCAGCCTGGGCTCCTATCCATGGATGCTTGCTTCTTTCTAGTGGCACTACCGTTGCTCTGGGGCAACACGCTTCGCCGATAATTCGCGATAGGGCATGACGGTTATGAGAGTAATTGAAGGCGCGCAACATTTCCGAGTGCACTTAAAAATCTCTTCCAGATATTAAATAGAGTTTAGTGTAAGTTTTTGACATTTTTCATACCAATTGGTCTCTATTGAAAAGCTGGTGCTGCGATTATCGTCCCCTGTCTTAACAGCAGTTATTGCTGCATGGAGTGGATGAGATGCAGCCAGGAACAGCAGATAAAAAAGGAGGCTGGGGCAGGGCTGCAGGCGATAACCCAAAGATAACGCGTTAGCGCGTCAGTGTTCCCTCTCTCCCTGAGCGGCAGTTGAATAAAGCCTTCTCCACAATTAGACATATCTTGGTCAATGCGCTCCAATCAAACAATTTTATTGTCTTACGGCGGTTTGCGTATTGACTTCGTCTTGATACGTACTGTACGTCACCTGCCTTGAAACGATAGAGCCTACGTACAGTGGGTGAACAGCCTAACAGCTCCCTACCTGGAAGCGGGTAGTGGGTCTGTCACACAACGTCCCGTCCCCACATTCAATCATCCATCTTATTCCCGTCCTCCGGAACTTCACTCCGACATCCAATGCCAATGAGCTCCATTGTTCGTTCAGAAGTCGAACAAATGGACAATGAGATCAACGTGCGATCGACTCGAGCCCGAGCTCGCAAGCGCGAAAAGATATCCAACGCGTCAGTTCATAGCTTCTCTCATACCTTGTCAATTGAATTGACGCTGAGTAGCTGTATCGCCTGCCGCAACAGCAAGACTCGCTGTTCAGGGCGCCATCCTTGTGAAAGATGCATTAGACGTAAGGAAACTTGCGTCTTTGAGGAGAAAGAAAAGAAAGTAGCAGTATCTGTAGAGTATGTGATTGTTCCAGGTAGATTGAACCTTCCTAAGACTGATGGACTTAGTTACCTCGACCAATTACACGCTCGCATCGAGTCACTTGAGGCTCAATCACGCTCCGTCCAAGGTCTAAACTCTACCACTGAAGTCCTCTCATCGGGTTCAGTGCAGCTTAATGCGCGCTATCCATCGAGAAATCCTCCACAAAGCCCCTTGGGCGAAACTAGGACGCCGTCAGTATGTATCACATCGTGAGTGTTTCCTGTTCCTTGACTAAGTCTTGAAAAGAGATCAGAGTCCAGTTCTCTTACAAATACCCTTGTCACTTCCGAGCCACAGATCAAGGTCCATCGCTATGGACATGCCGGTGCGTCTGCCGTTTTCTACCTTGAAGAAACTGACATGCTTACCATATTAGCCTACCTTGGGCACAGCTCAACTCTCAGCTTCAGTCGCAATGTCCGCAACCTTCTTCAACGGTCATCCCCAATCGCAGATCCTGAGAGCATATCTATGGAACGACAGGACATATCTTATACACGAACACTGCCGCCAATAGCTCTCGATCTGTCAAACATCGCATTGCCAAAGCTCTCTTACGCTGAATACTTGACCAACACGGTGATTGTGCACATCGGTTCTCTCTACTCCATATTTGATGCAGACATGTTTCTTCAAAGACTGAGGAGATTTTACGATGACCGTAACAAAGATTTGGAGATTGATGCAAGCCTATGGCACATTCAGATGCTACTCATACTAGCATTCGGCAAGTCGATACAGTCTAGAGAACACTCTGAGATGGGCCCCTCCGGGATGACATACTTCACACTTGCCATTGAAGCTATGCCAGATATAAGAAGACTCTACGAGGATCCTTTGTTGTCAATTGAGGTTCTCTGTTTGGCTGCTTTGTTCATGCATGCAACCGATCTCCTACAGGAGGCCTACGTCACGGTTAGCTTATGGCTTTGTGCACACTCAGTGTTCGTCCAGCTAATTGGTCCTTTAGATTGGTCAAGCCCTGCGAATTTCTGTCACCAAAGTTCTGCACAAAAGGTTTCCGGAAGCTTTGAGATCCTCAAACTTTGAGTACCAAAGACGTCTCTGGTGGACAGTATACTGCATCGACAGAAAGTGCGCGGCAATGCTAGGCAGTCCGTCTGTCATGAGAGACGATGACATCTCAATCCCGTTCCCAGAAATAAAGCCAGGACATGAGTCGCAAAACGCATTCGCTGTCCATGCGATCCTTTCTTCTCATCTCGGCAAGATCCTTGATGGTGAGCTTCATGACCTATACTGTGTGAATGTTTACTTATCTAGACGTTCACAGCCATATATGGAGTACACGATCATCAGCGGAGTTTCCTTCTTGAAGTGAAGTCAATTCTTTCTCGTATTGCAGAAACCTACGTTATCCTACGTCAACATCTTCCGTTGGATGTCCAGCAACCAAGCCAACCAGTTTCTCGCGAGTCTGCCACACTCCATCTTCTGCTCCACCAGGCATGTTTCTCACAAAGTCTATAAACCCGAACTAATTAGGTCTCAGTGTGTAATTTTGACTGTTAGGCCTGTTCTCTTCTCACTTCTCAAGCCTCTTCTAGCATCAAATGCTCCCATACCCGATGGTCGCCACTCTTCGTCGCCATTTGAGTCGATGCTGAAGATGTGCATCGAGTCTGCTGTCCAAATTCTCAAGATCATGTCAATTCTGAAGCAACAGATGATGTGCGGTGAGTTCGTCAGCTCCGTCTGTGACGACATGTTATTGACTTGAGTCTAGATATCTTCCTGCCATATGATATCGATGCACTCTTTTCGGCGGCCTTCGCTTTGATCCTAATCGATATCATCCGGCCAGCAAATGAGCTGCTTTGGGACTTGCCCCAGGTTATGAACCTACTTGGCGAGTTTGTATCACGGCGTGTAGCTCCAGCGCAAGCCTACAGGTCCGATCTCGTGCAAATCTTAGAGCTACATACTAAGTTACGAGGGAACAACTGCCGCCAGCACCAGGACACTGGGGCCATGTTCAATATGAGTCTTGTTCCTGGCCTGGACGAATATGCTATAACCCAGCCGGGGCAGTTGGGTATATCACCTGACCCATTGTGGGCAAACATAAGAGATGGAAATGTAGTTGGAGATCCCGCGCACCCTAACACAATCCTTTCAGTGATTGATGATCTGAACGTGGAAGGTTTTGATATATCAGACACTGATATGCTTGATAATGCGTGGATGTGGGATATGGACGATATGTCAACAAACATCTAAACTCAATGCTCAATACTAGAGCAGTCATGCATTGCTTCCAAATGACCCAGTATGAGTAAATCATTAGAAATATGTGACCGCTTGTGAGAGTCCTCAGAGTTATCTCCGACTTACACCGGAATCCTGTTCCGTAGATCAGTACGTATAGTGCGGAGCGGGATTCCGAGACTTATTCTCGAGCAATATTTAATAAGGGAAGCTTCTATGATAGCAAACACAAAATTTACGTTCTGTTTTTAACATCATGACGCTGGCTACCCGTTGTATTGCTCCGGTTTTATCCATCCTACGACCCGCAGCACATATTCCCCAAATCATACACCCAAGAACTTTCAATTACGGATGTAGTCGCGCATTCTCAGCCTCGATTCGATCTTATGCAGCCATGGAGCACGTGTTCTCTTCCAAGGCAGTCGCACGTCCGTATTATCTTCTCCCTGTCTTTGAACCGAATGTTGATCAGAAGTGTCAGCTATTGGGCCATACACCCAAGCTATCAAGGCCAACGGCATGGTCTTCCTGTCAGGCCAAATCCCTGCCGACTCACAGGCTAGGCTTATAGAAGGAACCATTGCTGAGAAGACGCACAAGATGTGTCAGAACGCAAAGGCTGTTCTAGAGGAAGCAGGTTCTGGTCTTGATAAGGCTGTTCGGGTAACGGTGTGTTGCACATTTGATATTTCCATGTCCTTTTCTGACGATGCTGTAGGTTTACTTTCAGAATATGGATGACATGAAGGAAATGAACGAGGTCTATGCCGAGTATTTTCCACACAAGCCTGCTAGAAGTGCATGCGAATCCCCAAGACTTCCTGCTGGTGCGAGCATGGAGATGGATATCATTGCGTTGCAATAGACTTTTAATACCAGAGATTATTGAATACTTCCAAACAGATTTATATGAACTTCTCATTGATCCCCATCAAGTTGTCAAATGGACATTTGCTATTACTCTGTTTGATCATCGCCGTCCAAAGTTCCATAAACTATATCTGATGATACATAAATCCTTGGCCGGCCTCACACAATAAAAACAACTCTGAAACTACAGAAGTCTGTCAGCAGTATTAGGCCAGCAGCTTTAGTCACTTTAGACGATACTCTGTGTAGTACCCCGCGTTCAGTGGCATGGCCTACCAAGTTGAATGTTCACTGGAATATATCCCATCTAGCATTTCTCTTCTTGCTATGCAGTATATAGTTCTCGCACGCTTAGCTACCAATATCGAAAATGGGAATTCAAGGATAGCAGTTCTCTGTAGATTCTCCTGCAACCAAAGTCAAGAATTCGTCCATTGGAGTGTTCAGGAGTGTCACACTCGACCTCTTTTGATTGTCCATTCGGATAGGCTGGCTTTGGTTGGCTTGCGCTTTCAGATCAATCACATAGGAGGGGTCTCCGAGTAAAATAGAGTTCCTGGGTCCGTATCTGGCGCGATTTGATGGCCACGCTTTTGAGCTTCCGCCGTCGCTAGATGGAGCAAGTATGCCTCATCTCAAAAGCTCCAAATGTTGGAAACAGACGAAGCTGGAGAGAGCGTACATAGCGGTCTGTTCTCATTACCTTCTGAGCGAACCGTGTTCTCCCTGGGACTTTCTTCCGTTCAGGTAGGCACAAAGAAGTTAGGGGAGATTGTAGTTCCCTTCTTTATTCCACTCAAAAGGCATTGATATCTGCATCCTGCTTTAAAAGTCCACTCCATTGAGGAAAGGGAAAGGGAAAGGGAAAGGGAAAGCGAGATCATGTCGAAAACGAGTGGCAAAGCGTTCGGCCATAGCAAGCTATCGCCGAAAACTCGAGCTTCTGTAGGATCATGAGGAAACAGTATTTGTAAGGTAAAGTAGGTGTGAGGTGCTAATAAGCTCGGCCAGGTTCTTCTATTGCACCTACTATTAGTAGTTAACCATCGATTCGCGCTAGGACCACTATGTCAGATCTGACACAAGTCACACGCAACGAGCCGAGACAAATCGTAATTCCATTTCAGCCGCCTATCTTATTTATGTCAGCATCCATCTCGAAGGATTCGCTTAGCGGCGTGGCGAACGAGATGGGAAGGGCCTCAGACCCTGTAATAAGTTGCAACAGAGTGTTGTTAGTGCTGACCGGAGGCCAGGATGTTTCGTCTTTCAATCAGGCCTTGTATCTGCAGATCATTCCATGATCCAGTATTTAATGATTAAGCCTCCGCCTTGAACCATTTGTCATAAGGCTGAAGATAATCTCACCCAACAACAATATTGGTGATGGCTTCAAACACGCCCAAGACGCCATCTTCTGGCGCCTCGCCTGGGAGCCTTCATCGGCCTCATAACCCCGCAACTACCGGGAGGCAAGTAGGCCACGCAACAATTCCCCACGACCGACCCGTGGCCCTCATGACTTCAGGCGCTCCTCTGCTAAATCCACGTAGCTGCGTTACCTGTCGCAGGCGCAGAGTCCGATGTGACAAGACGATGCCCTGCAGCAACTGTCGGCGGGCTCAATGCGATTGCATCTACCCTGCTCCGGGCCGCGCGCCACGTCAGACGCGGCTTGCGCCTACAGGTACTGCTACAGGTCAGAGCGAGCGTGAGATCGATCTCTTGGATCGATTACGGAAGCTTGAGGGGCTTGTTCACGAGATGAGTGGTCAAGGTGCAGCTAGTGGGAATGACATGGAAGTGAGCAATGGAGAATCACCACTAGCTTCAGAAAAGAACAAGAGTGCAAAGGATGTCGTTCAAGCAGCCACTGAGAAGGTCAAGAGAGAGTCAGAGAGCACCGATTTCTCAAAGATCAATAAACAGCTTGGCCGTTTAGTACTCCATGATGGAGACTCCACGCCGCGATACGTCAATAGTGGCTTCTTCGTCAAGCTCAACGACGAGGTACGGTCTCCTCGACAATCTTGAGCATCATCTGACATGCACAGCTCGCTGAAATCCGCAACGAGATGGAGACTATGAACGAGGAAGAAGCCGAGTTTGAAGATGACACGACTCCCGAGCAGTCCCCTCCACAGAACTTGGGTCTCGAGCATGATCACCACAGCTTCCTTTTTGGCTATAGCTCTGCCGATGTTGACCTTACAGGCCTTCATCCGTTGCCCGCGCAAGGCTCTTTCCTTTGGCAGATCTATCTCGAGAATATTGAACCTCTTGTCAAGGTGTTGCACATTCCCACCATGAGCAGACTCATGACTCAAGTGAGGCGTGGAGAGCATGATCTGCGTCCTGGAGATGAAGCGCTTGTGTTTGCCATCTATTATTCAGCTGTGACTTCGATGGAGACACAAGAGGTGAGCCCTCACTTACACAAGATATGGACGCCGTCTCACACATTCTAGGTTGAAGCAAATCTCGGCGCGTCTCAATCTCACTTCATTTCTCAATTTCGTTTCGCTCTTGAACAAGCTCTAGCCAAGTCTAATCTTCTCAACACCACCAACATGGCTATGCTGCAAGCATTTGTTATCTATCTCACCGTAGTCAAATGTCACGATGATAGCAAATTCGCTTGGACGCTTACCAGTCTCTGTGTCCGAATGGCTCAAGCCCTTGGTCTCTACCGCGATGGTCAGCAGCTTGGCCTCTCACCGTTTGAGGTTGAGATGCGCCGTCGTCTTTGGTGGGCCATTGTGTCTCTTGACGTCCGTTCTGCTGAGGAAATGGGGTCTGATCTGATCATAGACGACAAGACCTTTGACACTCAACTCCCATCGAACATAAACGACGCTGATATTGACCCATCTTTTACCAAGACACCAACTCCCCGTCAAGGCCGCACTGACTCCGCCATCTGCCTCTCACGTTACGAGATTACCGCCCTGTCTCGAGGCTTATTCACAGCCATAGCGCAAATGCGTCCTGTCGATCCTAAAGAGATAGAAAAAAGCCTTGAAGAGCGCGAGTGCATGCTAGTTGAAGTCTACGAACGCATGGAGGATAAGTTTCTGAAACATCTTATGAGGGAAGATGACCCTATTTTCTGGGTTGCTTCTCTTATTTCTAGAATCATGATGGCAAAGGTTGGTCTCATCATATATCAGCCTGTGCTATTCCCCGGGACGGGCCTGGAGGTATCATACGAGATCCGAAGCCGGTTGTGGCAGTCTTGTATTGAGATCGTTGAGTACAGCCACATTCTCAATATTGACCCCAGCTGCAGGCAATGGCGCTGGCTGTTCAAGTCCTACCGTCAATGGCACGCAATCGCATGCATGCTGCTGGAACTCTCGAAACGGCCTTGGGGTGTCACTTCGGAGCGAGCATGGGAAGCTGCACAAATTCTCGAGTACGATCACCCAATCGATGGCAGCAACAAAACAAATCATACTGCTGCATGGATGCCTATTAAAAGGCTCTTCACTAAAGCCAAACGACATCGTGAATCAGAACTTGTTCGGTTACGCGCTGATCCTGAGGCAGCGAGACGTCTCGATCGTGAGGAGAGAATCAAACCTGTACTGGAACGCATTGGTCCTGCGCCCGGAATGGAGACCCGCATGTCAGAACTCCGAGCCCGATGGCGAAAGATATTTCGGCCGGGAGACTTCTCCGATGATACCGTGTACCAGAGCATTTTACCCAGCGCAGATCAACCTGCGTCCTTTCCGCAAACCCAGCAACAGGCCCAACAGCCACTCGACCAAATGAGTGTATTCGACCCTAACACCTGGCAAAACATTCACTCGGGCAATCCAAACATTTCCATATACTACGAAGGGGTTGATTCTGGAGCGCAGAACATGGGTAGTCTTTTCCCAGGGGATGGTAGCCTTGGAAGTCTCTCAAGCATTGCATCGCCCGCCATATCAGGGACTGCATCTACACATAGGAACGACAACGATCGTCAAGCACTTGGAGGTGCTCGCCTATCACCATGGCCAGGTTCAGATATATTTCAGCACACGCAAGATCCAGGTGCTCTCGGTGATATCGATGAGCTTTTACAAAATAGAGCCGGGCCCAATCCTGGTCTCGACCTAAACATGGATCCTGGCGAAGTTGATGATATCGATTGGCGGAACTGGGATGAGACTTTAAGGACTTTGAGTAGGCCTACGATGGATCAAATGGGTGCGGGTGCCGGTAGTTGGGGTGGCATGTGAGCGTAGTGAGCTGATAACGTTACTCAGGCTTATTAAACTCTTTGATCCCATGTGGGTATATTCTGTCAAGCTTCCACGATGACTTTGTTACGAGCCATGCTTCCTTTGACAACTAGCTTTTCGAGATAAATTTTTGATTGCACAATGGTATCTGTAGCACTTTGCAACTTTTGGCTTGCAATGAATCGTGGCTACTCCAACGTCTGTCCTTAGTAGAAGAAACTTCCCAATCACAAGGCTTGTATAGAATATTAACTCTGGTTTCTTTTGATAACTTCATAGTTAGGCCATGCTAGAGTTAGTCTGATGAAAAATGTTTTATGCATGAGGCTAGTAACCCTCTTCTTGATTTAGGATAATTTTGTGGTGAGAGTATATCTATTGTCCTTAAAGTCTTTGAAAACTCAAGACCTATACAAAGTCCACGAAGTTTTTTTGCACATCTTGAAATAATTAACATTGTGTATTTTTCATCTGGTATTGGTTAAAGTCGATCAAGCTTCGATGACTGAAGATGCACTATAAGCTAATCACTTCTGTGACTGAGTGCACCTGTGGTCCTTAACGAACTTCCAGTCCATAATTTCATGTTCACTTTAAGCTTAACTGCGTTCATTTCACAGGACTAGCTTTCATATATAGGCAAGTAAATTTCGGGAAGCCTCAATAAACAGCAATATTGTGGCTTGTAAGAAAGAACCTTTGCGTGGGAATCTTTCAAAGTTACATGAACGAAAAGCTTAACAAGATATTCTTCCTTATTTATGGGCCACTGAATCCCACCTTAGACCTTTGTACACTTCTATCTCTTCATTCTTCAAGAACGTTTTTCTCCTTGCAGTCCAAGAGCAAACCACATCTTCGATCTCAACATGAGCCTCATCAAAATGAAGGGCTCCAAGCTATGCTTGAAGAGCTATGATAACAACGGGGTTGTCAATAATGTTTTCTTCGTACAAAAGGACCTGCCGTGCCCAAACCTGCTGGGAAAGCTACAAGATCTTGGGGCCGTTGAGGCGGTAACCCCCGACATGGTTGAGGTGTCAATCTCCAGGTACTTCTTGTACATCTTCTTGGTCGTTCTTCTCAACTACTTCAGGATCAGAAAGCAGCTCAACCCGAAGTCGAACGGTGATGCCAAGAACCAGGGGTCTACCACCAAGTTCAAGCCGCTGGCATGGATTCAGCGCAGCGAATGGAACCGAGCTCGTGCCGTCATCTTTTCGAGCTGGATGATGATCCTTCAATTCAGCTTCGCCCACGATGCCTGCACACTGGCAAGTGTTCTGACTTACCAAGCATATTTGGCGAATTTGGAATGGACAGAGCCCTACGTCTTCAGCTCATTCAATGCCGCCATCCGCATTCTTCTTTTCACACTCGGTACTTTTGGCAGCTTATACCCAATGTACCATACCATGAAGGCGCAAATACAATACATACGTGCTCTCATAGACCTTGAACTTTCACCCGAGCAGACAACCAAGGATGAGAGTTCGGTACCTCAAGAACTTCCAGCCTCTGCTCCTCCAAGCTCTGTCCTTCGCCAGACATCCCCTTACCTGGAGACAAACCGGGAGAGTCCCTGTGAGCATGAGAAGCGTGCCATGGAGACTGCTCCTAAAAGGCACACCCCAACTCCTGCCTCTCTTGTCCTCCCTCCAAGAAGCGATCACACGCCCTCAAGGACAACTGCTCAACTGCTCACCTCTGAAACTGGTCAGCAGGGTTCTCAAACAACTGCTCCTCGCCTTTCACGCAGTGCCCCGGTAGGAAACGCGCCGCCGTCCTATGCGGATTCCACCACGAACGGCGCGAACGACGTTAGCCACCAGGCAGCTTTTGATGCTTCACTTAGGCGGCTAAATGCCCCCGCTGTATCTCGCCAGCGCCAACGATCCTTCAAAAGCAGGCCTGCTTCCAGCTCCACAGGAAGGGCGCCAGGAGGACAAGCATTGGGGGGAGATGCAGCGACGTCCTCAGATTCTCCAGCTCAATCTGAAGACTGGGAATACGTCCGCCACGAAGAATGAAAGTCAATTTCTCAGAAGGGAAGCATAGGAATGACTCGAAGAATATTTGTTTCCTATACCTAGGTAGATAGAGACATAAGAGAAAACAGAAGTTTAATGTCTCAACCTATGAACTATCTTATACTGTCGTACATCTTAGACGACCATCGAGGCAAGCCTCCAAGCTTGTGTATGTCGCTAGAAAAGCCCCGTTGGCTCAGTGGTAAAGCGTATCACTAGTAATGATAAGATCACTGGTTCGATTCCAGTACGGGGCATGTGAAATTATGTTTTGTTGGTTCTTCTTTTTGTCATGTGCTCAAGTGTCTTCAATGTTATTTATTTATGTATGTGACTCTGTGATACTTACTTGGTGTCGAGGTGAAATTTTCCTTTTTGGGTGCATTATCCAACGGGAGGTAAAGTTTAAGCAGGGGCCCTTTCTCACCTCCACGACGATTAGTTTCTGCATGTGACAGAGCTCGTCCTTCCAATTGGCAACTTGGCCATCAGTTGTCTCTCGCATCTACTAGAAGCCTGGTATGGTAGTATTACGAAGTGGGTTTTCTGGATGCGTTTTATGTGCAATGCTAAGTTCATCAATGTCACAGGGCGGCAGCTCAGAAGTGTAGGTTCAAATAAAGCAATGCGAAGCAGTTATTCAGTGAGATTTGCATGTGCATGGCGCAAATAAAGTGATATTATGCATAATGTTGGCTGAAGGTAATCACCAATAAGACATTCCACCATTCAAGGTGTACTTTTGCAGGCTGAAGCTCTCTGCCCAGAAAGCAAATGCCAGGTCCCTCCCCATCCACATGCCCTTGTTGCCATCGCCGTCGTCATCATGTCTCTTCACCTGTGTCGTTTTCGCAGTTGAACTTCCAGACTGTTCTTGTAATATTTGTCGTATTTACTTGGTAGGTGCCTTGGGTTCACCAGACGCGTCGAGGACGGGCTTACCCCCTCGGTAGAACCACCAGAACCCACCGCCAATAGCGAGGGCACCAGCGACGAGAATCTTGTTACTGAGAATAAATTATTAGCCCAGTTCACCCTTATCTCAATTAGTGTATCCATACTGATTCTGGTTCTGTTTGGGCGGCTTCGCCTGGTACGGCTCGGAATCACGGAGGATACTCGAAGTGCGGAGTCCTCGTTGGGTTGCAGGGAGAGGTCGAAGGACGACAGCAGAGCGAGCGACGCGAGCGACGAGAGGAGACATTTTGACAGTCAATGAATGTATAGTCAGCAATTGACAAGATTGATAGTCGGCAATGAATCCGCAGATCTGAAGGAAGTGTTGACAACGGAACGGAGCTAAGGTAAGTATCAAGGAGGAAAACGCCTCCACTCGCGTCGGGAACTCATCTCTCTTAAAAAGAGGAGGTGAACCGTTACTTGCGGGGAATTTCTTGCCGTCATTGATGAGTGACGGGGTGCACACGTCTGATATTATCCAGGTCTTTAGCAAAGTCACATTATGGTATTTGGAGAAGCTGTTTGGGGGTATGTAAGCCGTGCTGCGAGCCGCTGCAGTACGGACGAGGGACTTGTCGGGTACACAAAGGAACCCCGGATTTTCCCCAGACGGCAGCCCGGTAGGTAGCATCTCCAGGGATGGGTACCCCTGACTTAGGCGCCTTTGGCTTTTGACTGGATGAAGGTAGCCGTTGTGTCCTGAGATGGCGGGCAAGTGCGGAGAGGGAGGCTTGGAATCGGCTGATGAGTGTTGCATTGGTTCATTGATGGAGGGGCCTTTGCATGTTGTCTCAATGACCCGTTCACCGCCTCAGCCACCCTATTGTGTGATGGCTGTTTTCGCATTCTCAAAGTCATAGTCTATGTCTTCGACATTTCTTATATTCATACAGCTCAGAAGAGGTTAAGAATGGGTCCATTTCTATTCTAATCCGTCAATATCCACTCTCTAGCAGGGGTCTATCTTCGGCAGCTAAAACTCGACCCACTCGGTTTGAAGATCTCAAGATGAGGTTTAAAGTTGGTTCACGATGCAAAGATTGACACAATTGAAAAAGTTGAGGACAAAACTATCAATTGGGCTTTTCATACTGTCAACCCATCAGTAAGTATTCAAATCCAAGACTCAGATGCTACTTGTCGAGGGGCTATAGATTCCACACAATCAAAAACAAGGAACGGAACGGTTCGTACCCATTCCCGCTTCTGGGCAACCTGCAGACATCACGCAACTCCTTCAATTACTCGTGTTACAAATCCCCTACGAGAAGCAACATTTGCATAAATTGTAACCTCACAAATTCTCTTGTGGGAATCTTTGCCCGATAATTGCCGCGGCAAAGTCTGCTGCCTGCGATGTGCGAAGTCATGCCAGGCCCTGCTTCAATGTTCAACACAGGAGTAACAAATCAGCTCGCTTCTATAGGATTACTGTGAGTTGAATATATACTACGGAAATTTCCATTTCTCCTTCTAGCATCTTGCTGTTCCTGGTCAGCTACCGTTCATTTGGTTCTCCTCTTTGTCTCTTAGACAAAGCGCTGCCCATTTGCAAGCTCCAAATCACTTTGAATTCTGAACATCCTAGCCAATATACCCCTACGTGCAAAGAAACATCTCACGATGCTTGGTTCTGGTGGAACTGCCTGATACGAAAATTGAACCGAGAACGTGGGCTTGCTGGTGGTGATTAATATCTCAAGTCGTGGAGTGGTTTCTACTACACCTACCTAAGGTACATATCATATGAAACCTCCATGAAGGGCAATGGCTCATACATCTAGACAAGATATTTCGTTTATTTATTACAAATAATGCCGATAACAAGTATTATTCGGACCCGTCATGCTCTTCAATCTTATACAAGTCACCGAGTTCGACAGCTTACCAACAACACTCAAGAGTAATAGCTCTGAAGCTAAAAGTACCATTTTGGCGCATATGTACATACAATTGAGGGGTCTGACTGTGGAATATTAATGATTCCCATCTTCTCGTCTGGTTACA